ATGGTTGCCCAGTGCCTTAATTAGCTACAGAATATTCATTAATTCTTCAATTAATTCACTTAGGGGAAAAAACGCATCAAAGTGGTGGACTGTGCATCTCCTTTTTTCTAAAAAAAAAAAAGCTAAAATAAAATACATGTTTTATTCAGTTCCCAAAGTTTCTTTTGAAGAGGTTTTAATCTCTTCCTAAAAGAGCTAAAGACAGAACACAAGGCAACTACCTCATTTTGTGAAATTGATGCTGGAACCTCTGAGCCCAGCATTCATTACAAATTCAGCATCGGAGCCACTTACTTGATAGCAGACAGCTGGAAGTGGAGGATTAAGGGCTGTCAGGAGCCAGGTCTGAGGCTAATTCTCAGTAGCCTGCCTCATTCTTCACCCCTGAACACTTAACAGATCATTTTTCTCACTGATACCTATGACCCAAGGAGAGCAGCTAAACTCAAACATCACCGTGCCTCAACTCCAGACGTCTCTGTTCGGAGCGTGGACGCAGATATGGGCTGGTGACATCAGGTTGTACAGATGCACCTCCCGGACCATACACGTATCAAGAACAACCACACTGCAAGCCTGAAAACAAAAAAAGTCCCCCGAGCAGGGCATCCTGGCTGCACTGCCGCACAGGCAGGAGCGCGGGGTACGAAGCAGAAACGAACAACCGGCGATAATTGCAGGAGCAGCGGTACATTGGAAACCTATCACAAAAGGCACTAAACCTCAATTCCTGGAGCCGAGACACTGCCCAACGTTTTCGCGTTTTGCTGAAGCCAAACATCTCCCCTCTTCCTCCTCCTCTACAAATGGAGCTCATTTATCTGCTGTTGGCATTTAGCGGTTTTCACTTCATCACCTCACTTGGTCCTGCGAGAAGCGAGGCTGCATAGGACGCGGCTTCCAAATACCCCTACATGGCTTTTATCAACCTGACAGCATCTAAAGGACAGAAAGCGTTTGTCACAGCCCGACTTCTTCTCAAGCCACCACAGTTTCTAGAGGACTATTTTACAACATCCTCAAGCCCAGCCATCGTCCTTCCGCTGCTTCCCCCAGGAAATTACATCCCCGCTAATTCCTCTCACTGTCAGGAAGCTGCTTCCCCAGCGGAGCTGTGGCAGCTCAGTGAGTGACTGTGACAAAGTTTTACTTCGTCTCGGTCAGGCGCTCTCCTTTAGCGCAGACACGCTGATCTAGCAAACGGATAAAAGGACCTGGGAAAAAAAGCAACGGAAGCTGGGGCGGGGGGAGGAGGAACCGTTCAACACCTAAACCTGGCCGAGAGCGATCAGATAGCATGGGCTCAGAATAAAGCAAAAGTTGTTGCATACCCCTTAGCCTTTGTTAAACAGCTTACTGTTCATATTAGACATGTATATGTTACCTTTCATCCATAGAGACCTGGAATAGCTTATCAGCAAGAGAGAAATCAGGTCAGCCCCTCCTGGACCGCACGCTGCGGGTGGGACGGTTTGCTGAGCAAACTCTAAGGGGCTTCAGTACCATTTTGCACGACGCAAGGTTTGCCTGCCTACGGCAGGGCTCGTGCACGGACCCGGGCAGGCACGCAGGGCTGGAGCGGCTCTGCAGAGAAGGAAGGCAGAGCAGATGCGAGTTAATCTGCCCTGGAAAGGGGGCTGGCAGCCGAGCCGGGCACCAAGAGCCCCCCCTCCTCCCTCAGGAGTGCAAACACAGTATATTCTCCTATACAAAATTCACAGCAAGCTGTGACTGCCTGATTCTATGATTCTATGATTCTATTCTCCTATACAAAATTCACAGCGAGCTGTGACTGCTGCCTGCTCATCTCACGGCTGCTAAATATTTATGAACCAATTACAAAAAACAAATTTATCACTTTAGCCCTCAGCCAAGTTTGGAAGGATTCAAATATTTATTCTGACTAGGAGCTTTACCCCCTCACACACTTCCTCTCCCCCACCTTGCTTCCCACTCAAGCGGAGGATCGAGCATTTTCGGTCCTCACCCCTCTCTCTGGGCAATACATTGCTGTTTGCGTTAGTAATTTCTCTGGCTTGCTTGCAAAGAGTTTCTATCCGACAGCAGCTGCAGGGAGGACACCACGTGTGCACTCGCACTCCCACGAAGGAGCCGGTGGGTCAGGAGGCAGACGGGACGCACGCTGAACGCCCTTTGCAGCACGGAGCACAAAGCAGCGCTGTCGGCATCTGTTATTTGGGCCAGGCCCTCGGAGCAGGGGAGCTGCAACTGGGAACAGGGACGAGCTTTGCCAAGTGAATCATTTCTTCCCCATCCCACCCTTTTGGCAAAGCCGGCACCACCTTCCACTTCCAACAAAGGGCATTGGCAGCGCTCGGCTGGGGAAGGGACTTGACCCTTCGCTTCCAAACAGCAGGTTTTCCTGCTGTCCCCGGTCAGCGAGACTGGCTGAGCAGAGTCACCCATGGCCCAGAACGATGCTAGCTCAGCCTCTGCCACGGATCCCATCTGTCCACGGACATAAACAGGTCCCTCCCCAAGTCCCCGGCGCCTCGAACAGACACACCTACTGCTGGCAAGGCCAGTGGGCAAAATCCTCAGCTTGTTTGCTACAGCTGCATGTTGCACAGAGCTGCACACGGATCACTTTCCTCCTCAGTTGCCCGCATAAAGACTATTAAAATTAACAGAATAATGCATATAAATCTGCCATTTTTTCCCCTCAACACAGAGGAAGAGCCAAATCATTGCTAACAGGGGTGGCTCAACAAGGTTTTATATTAGCCTGGTAAATTCAGAGGCTGCAAGTTGCATTAATTCAGAGCAGCTGCATTATCCCATTCAGGGAACTAATTAAACCTCCAACAACAGCACTACATTTATGTTTAAATCTCATTGTTGCCATTATGACCAGCCAGATCAGTCCCTTTCTGCACATACAAATCACTGAAAAAAAAAAAAAAAACCCAAACATTCCCCACAGGTGCATCTTTACCATTTCTTACCAATCATAGGAGTCTGCTTTCAGATATTTTATAGCAAGACCTGGCCTGACTATATAAACTACTATCACAGCAGCTCCCTTTTATGCTGCTTCTATAGAAAATTGCTCTGACCCATGAACCGTGCCCCTCCCGCCAACAGCAAAGAGTGCAACCGTTGCACCAGGAGTCAGAGTGAGACCCCAAATGCCTCTATACAGCCTTTGGAAATTAAAGAGCAAATCAAGCTGAAGGCAGTGAATCACCAGCTGCCGGCTTGTCCCCCTTCTTGTGAGAATATTTAACCTTACATAGTGTTTTTCAGTGGGAACAAAAACATTCTGCAAAAAGAGGCTATCGCCATCTCACAGATGGGGAAACTGAGGCAGAGAGGCGAAACCTTTGTCCAGAATCATTCAAGCCGGCCTGTGACAGCCATGAGACCCCAAGGCAAATCGGTGCTCCGGCCACAGGATGCTCCTACCAGGTTAAAGCCATTCCACAAAACGTTTAAATTACACCAGAAACCAGGAAGACAAATAAAATCATCAGGTTTTGATAGTACAAATTTTTTTAAGTTAGACCTGCCCCGTTGTAGACAGGTGTGAATTTTTCACGTTCTTTCTTTGATTTCCTCACCTCAACATAACAGGAAGGAAAAGCAGATTTTCCTCCTGTGGCTTGTTAGGCTGACACTGGGTGGAAGTAATGCTTTTTGTTTACAAGCAGGGAAGCAGATCTGCGGGTTCATTTCTCCGCGCAGAGGAAGCACAGGCACACTAACACTTGACCTCTGCTACTAGTGAAGTCGTGCACCACTGTAAAGCCAAAGGTTCCTTCCCTTTCAATGTTTGCTGTAAACAGTTCGGTTAGGCATGAAAAGTGCAGTGAAAGTTATCTGGTCCTCTCAAATAAGCCTTCTGCTGCAGAATCTTTCGCTCACTGTCATAGTACAACTGACCCAGGTAATTAACAGCAAAGCCTCTACAACCAAAACAGCTACAGAGAAAACCAGATATCTTTGGCAACCCTGAAACACTGCAGGGAGTGAGAGGGAGTGAGAACATGAACTGAAAGATGGGCTCGTACTGAGGAGGGATTCCGACTTTGCTTTTAGCATCTTTGAATACCTCCCTCTTCCACAAAAGATGATTTTTATCTCCAAGCCAGGATCGGAGAGGCAGCTGAGCATCGGTCAGCGCACAGAGGACAGGTGAGCAGGGCCACAACCGTCCCATGAGTTTACACGCCCGGCACACAGAGCTCCACACCCCCAGCACCACACCAGGGGTTTTATTTCCTTTCAGTGTACAAAGAGTGGTTCATCTGAGCTTATCTCTTCCGCAGCGCTGCTGCTCTACCAGCAGAGAATCATCTCCAAAGAATGTTTCAGTAATGCTGCGGTGCTGAATTTCAGAGGGACACTTAATCTCGCCTGAGTGGTTCACTAGGGCCAACTTTCTGAGCATGAAATATTTAACTATCCATGGGCCTCCTGTACTATAATAAAGTGACTTCTAACAAGACTCTGAAATAAATACGCAAAGAGGAAAGCGGGAGCTATTAAATACAGAAAACACAGCCTAATTACTCTCTTCCTTCCATCCCCATGAACCCAGGACACCGCTTACCCCCCCAGCAGCAGGGACCCAGAAACAAAACATCTCCTCCGGATGCTGGGAGAGTCGAATTGCAAAGAGGAGATCAACACAAAGATTTGTGAGGAGCGCTGTTATCAACTATCCCTCACTTCGGGGATGTAAAAACTTATCTGGCTTGCCTAAAAGAAACCAAGTCCTGTATGTGAGCAACTTAAAAAACTTTGAAAAGCCCCTCACTTCTCGCAATTCTGCTTCTCCCCCACTCCAGTTTAGCCTGTCTTTTGGCATTTAACACCTTAAAGACTTACAGGTGAGCATTTGCCTGTTAATGTGATATGAGAGTTAGTAAAAGTAGTGAAAACCACCCAGGACCCCCTCCAAAGGCCAGTGCAGTAGAGAGGAGCTCATGCTGTACAGATTCATTCCTGGCACAGAAGCTAAGCAAGGTCAGCCTTACCTCATCCCACTCTGAAGCAAAGGACGGGGACTTCTCCAGCCTCTTCTTCCCAGTGCTGCAGTTCGAGAGCGATTCGCTCCGGCTCCCCATGGCATCGTCCTCTGTCGGAGAGCAGGTCAGAAGATCAGAGTCCGATTTGGACAAGCTGCGGCTGAGTTTAAGCTCGGCTTTGGGCTTGCTCCCCGGGTGGGCTCTGCCCACAGCTCTGTCCCCCTCTTCCTCAGCACCACCGGGGTGCTGTAGCACGTGGGGCGTGACTACAGTTTCAGGATCCGCCCGGTTGACGTGCGTGTGCTGGATGGTTGCGTAGACCACTTTCTGGTTTTGGTCTGGAGAGCTGGTCCGTACTGATCCAGAGGCAGGTAAGTCAGCATCCTCCAGCTGCATAGCAGGTGGGTGGCTTGTAGCTTCCGTGCCTCCTTTCTCTGCGGAGGAAACAAGCCTGAAAGGGTCCTCACTTATCTCACAGATCGGGGAAGAACCGTGAAGCAACCCTGAAAACTGCTCTGGAACCTGGATGTCCTGGCCGTCGGCAGAGTCCTGGCTGCGGCTGCCACTGCTCCTCCTGTGGTCTTCAAGGGGATGAAAATGGGGGAGGGGGAGGGGGAATTAAAAACATGGAAGAAGCAGCAAAATTCCAGCTCTCCCCCTGCCCTCCCTCAGCAAGGGAGGGAGAGATAAAGAGAGAACAGTTCAGTATTGTTCCGCATGCTCAACTTGTACCCAAAGTCATGGCATTTATGAAATTCCAAACACTGGCCTGATTTATGCAATCTGGCAGCTCTCCTTGTTGTTTTATTCCTGTTAACACTAACTATCAGGCCTTGCTATATAAGGCTAAGAGAAGTGCTAACTATATCCTGCAGAGAGAGCAAGCGAGGTAGGAGAAGCAGAGACGGAGGCTCCTGGAACATCTGATACATTTCCATAAAGGCCAAAGTGTTATTTAGAGCAGCGCTCCCTGCTCTTGGCACGAGCTGCAGGGTGGGAAAACTTCTGGACTGTAATCAACCTGCGAATTCCAAAATCCGCTCCCCAAAAAAAACACTGCTTTCCTCCCTAGTGGTTTCCGAGTTTAACCTCTCCTCCTTACTCAGGGGAGAGAAATAAACAGTTTATGCAATAAAAAACTTGATCAAAAAGTCTCTCTTGCAAGCAAACCACTGAACACAGAATGGTCCGATCTACTAACGCAGCGAGCTGCGTGGAACCGTCTGGCCAGTTTATGCAATAAAAAACTTGATCAAAAAGTCTCTCTTGCAAGCAAACCACTGAACGCAGAATGGTCCGATCTACTAACGCAGCGAGCTGCGTGGAGTACCGTCTGTCCCAGAAATATGACACTGCTACTCAGCTACTCCTGCACCAACACCTTTAATATCAGGTACCAGGGTCCTGCATAAATCATGAATAATTGACTCATCCCAATTGCCAAGCGCGTGCACAGACATACGTGTACTCACCTTGGTCACATTACACGCATTCGAACTGCAAAAGCAAACCTTTGTAAAGCTAAGTATAACTTCTATTTACCAAGGATTCCTCTACCTGCCCATAATCGCTTGCAAATTTTAACCACTTCCATTTAGCGCTGAAGAAACACTCCTCGGTCTGAGGACCAAAAAAAACCACACTGCAAAGGAGCATTAAGGCAAAGCACCCCGATAACGTGGCTCTGAAATGGAAGAAGGACGTTCAGATGTGAAGAGGAAATTGCCTGCTTTGCAAGACAGCAGCTCTCAGAAGCCAAGGCAAAGGAATCCTCATTTCAGTGAGGGCAAAATACACTAATGAATTCTACTTAACTAAAAGCAGCCTATTAGCAACAACGGCGAGATCAACTCCTTCCCCCCAAGCATCCTTTCCAGCACTAGGCTTGACCAGGTCATTTTCAAACACTAACACCCATCTGGTTTGGTGGTCTGTCCTCACACCAGAAATGAGGCAGGAAAGGACTGAATTAGTCATTTGTCTTTGCAAGCCGCTCTAGGTCCTGGGGTCTCATGCACTCTGTGTTTGATAAGCGTAAGCTAGTCCTTCTTGCAGGCATTTGTTTACTCCACAGAAATGCTATAAGCAGCTTGCTCAGTTGGCAGCTGAGTCAGGAACAGCAAAAGCCCGAACGGAGGTTAACTGCCAGGGCAGCGCGCCGGCAGACCTCGCTTCTCGCTGGGATCAAGTGATGCGAGGGCTTATTTCATTCTGGATCCTATGAATTAAAGATTCCAGGACAATGAAGTAGTTGTTGATTACCTTGCACGGGCACATAAACCACAAGTTCTGCAACCGAAGTTGCCAAGGGGGAGGCACAGCCCCTGCGGGCAGGTGGCGTCACCAGCATCGCTCCTAATGCTGGCTGGGGAGTGCCAACAGCAGCACCCGATCAGAAGATCTCAAGACCAGACTATGTTCAGCTACTTTGCATAAAGTTATGAAGCTTGTAATGCTGGAGAGAAGCCTTAGAAGAGATCAGACGTGCTGCATTCATAGGACAGACTGGTGTTAATAAGAAAAAGCTACCGACCTGGTAAGAGGAACACAGCATTGACGGGACAGCCACATTAACCTGATGGGGAGGGAACAACTTTTGCAAATTCAACAGCCTTTCTTCTCAACCTCTTTCCTTCCTTGGAAATCATTTCTTCCATTCCCCAGCTTAACCTTTACTGACATTTCTGCTGAAGGCAGAGAGGCGGCTGCTGAAAATTTATGCCACATGCTGGAACACTTGGGTCCAGCCAGAACAAAGTGCTCCAAATCCAGCTCCAGAGACTCACAAAAGGGCTCCTGTTGAACAGAAATCACAGCCGCCCATTCATCCTCAAGCCGATGAAGGACTTCGAAATACAAGGCAGCTGCCAGCGAAGGAAGGGATGAAGCAAGGGCAACAGCACTTGCTCAGAAGATGCGAGGAACATCTTGAAGGAGACATTTCAAGAGCGTTTCAGAGCCTGCCCTGAAAGCTGCAGACAGAAGAACTAATGTAGGAAGGAAAGAGTCATCTCGCTCCTTTCAATCACTGAGGTGCACATGGCAGGAACACTGAGGGTTCCCCAGGCCTTACCCTTTCAGGGTTTCAACTAAAGGTGCCTCAGGACAGCTAGCAGAGAGGCCAGAACAACCACTGGCCATCTTGGGAAGGTGTACCTTTTTGGGATAGGTTACTGACGTGATTCAGCTGATGTGCTGATCACTTTTCTCATGGCAGAGATGAACAGTACTCATTTTTCAAGTGTGTAGTACATTTGGAGAAGGGAAAAATAGTATTTAGGTGCTAGAATAGCAGAGAGACCCCAGTTCCACCTATCTGCTGCACTCCAAGGGATCTGAAAGCATCTTCCTCTGGTTACGCCTTTTCACTTGAAGGGAGTCGTCCTTAACATAGGGACTTCTGTCCAACTCCCTTAGCTGATTTTACACCCAAGCACAGACATCTGACTGGTCCTGACTTCTTCAGCCAACGCCTGCTGCAGGTTTCACCAACGGGAGAGGTTGCTTCCAAGGCCTAATGGGAACAGGAGCATCTTTCTGGGTACAGACTGCTTCCCAGGGAGCACTCAGTTAAGACCTCCCCTGCCAGCAGACTGATGATTCCAGATACCGAGCACTTCCCTAAATTCGTAACACTAAGCTGCAACTGCCCTGCTCGATCAAGTTTCTTTCCCTATATATCACCAGCAGGATTTGTTTCATGCCCCTGGATTAAGAGAATGAAGCTGTTATTGCAGCTGCTTTCTGCTCAAGCTCCCCAACCTTAAAACTAGCAAGGGCGTACGCTAGCCTCTAACTTTCATATAGAAAAGGATCCCCGTGCTACATCATGCCAGAACTTGTCAAGTGAGGAGCATGCTAATCTATCTCCTGTGGCATAAAAGGCCAGAGAAGAGAGGGAAGCTGGTGCTACTTTAGAGGTGCAAAAATAACCTTCAACTGCAGTAAAACTGAAACAAAGGCTCATTTACACAGTGAGGTACTGCATGTGAAATCCAGAAATGTACAATACGCTCCTGTATTAGTCTCAAGCTCAGTCATTTTGGGCAGAGTTTATCCCCCAAAAGCTACCTGAACTTGAGCTCATTTGGACTCCCTCCCCTATTCCCCTTTCAAGAAAGGGCAATAAAACACTGCCCTTAGTTGCTTAGTTGAGATCCCTACTGTGACTGCACAGAAGCTTCTAAATACATCATGACAGCAGAAATGCAGGCTTGGATCTGAGACATGGGAAAAAGGTCTGTCCTCCAGCCACGATAAAACCAAGGGAGGGCAGGTAGGCTGGTGGTTCTACGCCACCGTTCATCTCACGGCAAACCAAGAGGTATCTGTCCCTTCTAACCTTTGTTTGCAGTACCCATGTGTCCCCATAGATTCCCTATAGTGATACCCATCCCACTGCTTCTGCAGCCATACTCTGGCTCTGTGAAAAGATATTTTCTTTAAATCTCTCAGCATCATGTTCCGTCTTTCATCATTGGGTCAGATATCTGGTTTAGAGCACAGCCATACATCTGGTTGAGCCAGCACAACCATAAAGAAAAACTCTAGCAGGAGGAAGGAAAAAGTAGGGACTTCAAGCTGGGCTTCCTCTGGAAGCAGCACAGCAGAACCTCAACAAATCAGTTTTTAATAACCATTAGAAGGAACTAAGTCAGTCCTACCTGCAGCTGGTTACTGCTGACAGCACTTGTGGATGACTCTGCTGAGAAGCAAGACAGACATCAAAACTCAGAAGTATTTTCCACATTCATCCTCCATCGGGTCTCTCTGAACACAGCAGGAGTTGCACAGTCTCCTCCTGGTCAGTTCGCCACTCTTGGCCTATTTACAAGTCCTGTTCCAAGGTCTGAACGCCCTGACTTCATGCATGTGATTGCACGGAGTTTCCTTACCGAAGGGGATGGGAGAGCATTTGGCTCAAACCACTTCTGATACTCTGCCCAAAACATTAAGCCAACTTTTCCTAGTGCTCCAGCACGTGACAGCAAACTGCTGTAACATACACAAAAGGCAACCCAAAGCCAGGCGGATAATACCACATTCATCTAGTCACTGGATACAAGACAACTTGCAGCAAGAGGAACAAAGGCAGCTATCAGATATGAAAGGCACCATTAAAAACAGCGTGCCTGAAATTCAGCCTTTCAGCTGTCCTGAAAAGCCCTTCTCAATAGCCCGCAAGAATCAGAGTCCTTCTCTTCTGACCAAAGGCTCCTCCAGAACTCATCAAGTAACATCTAGAAGCCCAGCCTCTTAGATCGAGGGCCAAGAAGCAATTCAAAGCCATGCTTCAGCCTGCCCCTTGTCTTGGGATTGAGCTGCTGCCTTTGATGCTCCAGGACCCTTCTGATCCAGAGGTGGGAAAATTCTCCAACACCCCAATTAAGGCTTCAGTCCCTCACTCAGCCCTTGTTTAACTTTTTGCCAAAACAACTCTGCTACTCCCTAAATGCAGCTTCCCCCCTCCCATCAGCATATACCTCGTGTTTCATGCTCAGCTACGCCTGCTTCCCCATGCCCTTGTAGCATCTGACCCCAGCTACCGCGAAAGCCAGAAACATTTCCTTTTCTTCCCAGTGTAATAAAGCAGATTTCAAAGCTGATCCACCCTTCCAGAGCAGTTATGAAACTCGTGTGCAGAAAGAAGCAACCTGTAACGCTGTGAGAGAAAGCAAGAATGTACAACACAAAATAGCCAGTGCTAAAGACAAAAGAGAAAAATAGTCAGTGTCTCGTTTCCTACTGGGGTTGAGAAGCCTGAAGTCCCCAAGAGGACAAGCAGCAGGTGAAGGATGACATGGGGCCCTGTCAAAGCTCAGCTGCTCCTGCAGTATAGGGAGAGCTGCCAGCTGGGGACACTGCCACGCATGCAGCCGTGCCACAGGGAGCACTCTGAGATGTTTTGGAAAACAGCTGGTAACCCTCTGGAGAAGGGGGACAAACAACCGTGTCCCTTTCTCCGGGTCCACCACGAAGAGCAATGGGAGATGGCCCTGGCAAGCTTAAGAAATGCAAGAGATGAGAAATACATTGGCTGGGCCCCTTCCCCCTAGGAGCAGCTCTTTGCCCCCACCAGATCGAAGGCTCCACCGCATTAGTCATAGTGCTAATTGCATTTAAGAGAGTGAGCAAGTCCTGGAAGACGAGAAAACCCAACTGCATCCCTGGACTTCTCCCACCACATCAGTGGAAAGGACTCTAGGTTTGTTACAAACACACTAACACTTTCCATAGACTGCAAACCCTGAAGTCACAGCTATTATCTTTCTCCTGTATGTTAAGACAGGACTCTGCTCTGGACCCTTACTAGGCTAAAGATGCTTCCCACAACCTCTCCATGAAATGGCGCTTAGAGGGCCTGCAGTACCGACGTCTTCGGGTGTTCAGGGGAAGAGACTTGCATCAAGAACAAGCAGATGCATTACTCTGAGATTTTATTTTAATCTGACACATAATTACGACACACCTTCACTCCTATTAATCAAGCCTAGACATGGTAGCCAGAGAAAGGAGCAAAGCCATCAGGAATAGCTCGCACTTGAATAACCAGCAATAGCTGCACACTGAAAAGATAGCCTGAAAGCTGCTGGTTCAATGGCTGTCACCCAAGGACTATTCCTGGCTGAGACCGCAAAGCACCAACCTGAAAAGCATCCTAACTTTGCCTCCGGCAGCAAGTGGCTTTGGCAAATGCTGGTGGGAAAACAATGACCTCTTGTGCCACCCTATACGAGCTAGGAGTGCGGCAGGACTCAAGGAATGAAAGCTATCATGCTGCAAGAAGGAAAAAAAAAAAAAAAAAAAAAAAGAAAAAAGCTGCAGGTCTTACAGGGCAGTCAATGAGGCATCACATCGAGTTCTCATTATCCTCTGTTCATCCTCAAAGTGAGATGGTTTCCAGGTTTAGAGTCCAAACTCAATCCTTCCAAATTCCTGCTCGGGACTTTTGAATAAAGCAAGAGACGTTTTTCCTCTAAACAAATCTTTTGTTGTTGTTGTTGAAGGAAAGCCAAAATGCCCAGCAATAGCCAAACACAAGAGACAAGGTGTTCCCAGATCCTTTGTAAAGCACAGAAGTCCCTCTGGGACAAGAGAGACTAATTTGATACTTAACATGGCTATATAGTGGATTTCAAGTCAGTTCTAGAAAGGGGCTTGCTCTACACATGTTTGTTTTCCTCCTTTGTTAGTTTACATCTCAAATTAGCTTTAATACACAGCGGGATGTTGATTTTAAGACCAGGATAGCAGGGCCAATCATCTGCCGATACAAACATGCAACGCCAGCAGGTCTTCAAATTCAGCTGGATGGAGAATACGGCTCATTTAAATGCTTGCATCAGTTCATCTCACTTGTAACAACACGGCACAGCCTTCCACCCTTCTGCATTTGCTTGGCTGTGCACAAGATCTGCTTATTTTCTAAGTTAACAGAGTAGGTCCTCCCAATCTCTTAGTTGTCACAATAGCAGAGTTGCCCTTCCTCCCTGTACATTTTGTACAGGAATGTTTAGATCTCTCCTTTATAAAAGTGAAGATTACCAGGAAACAAAACAATTGCAATCCAGACCCCAGCCACCCACCCAACAAAGAGTTTAATTGTTCCAGTTACTCTCTGCCCTCTATATTTGCCTTAAATGCATCTAAAGCAAACAGCTCTGCTTTTTGGATGGTCACTTACCTTTTGTTTTCCTATCCACCGCAACTGGCTTTTTAGTTTCTGCTGTAAGCAACAGCTCGTAAGGGTGTTCCTCTTCCTCAGCTCCACTTCCCCTGCTCTTTCCTCGTGCAACAGAGGCCTAATGAAAAACAGCATAATGTAGTGCTCCACAAAGCAATGCTATTTATCCCGGCAATAAAGCACAAGGCCTCTTTAAGCCATGGTTTAAGCAAGGAATTGGCAGAGGCAACACCTTCGCTGTGGAGTGTGATCCAAAATGTAATAATCCCTCCCCCCCGCCCTCCCCCTCAAAAAAGCCACCCAAACTCCCTTTATTTTCTAGTATTTAAGGTTGCTGACAGCTTTCTAGCACTAACCAACTGATTCACTGTGCAAGGTCTGCAGACAGCCTGGAGGGGGGAAAAGAGCTGAGACAGTTATTCCTGTTCATCCCAACTCAGACTTACTGTTGCTATTGGAATTTGCATCGTCATTCACTATTTAGTTGCTGGCCCTATTAGGACATGGCTGGGAAAAAAAAAAAAGCCCAAATCGTTGCCACCTTCTCAGAAGTCTCAGATCTAGCACTTCTAACCTCAGGATGCACAGCGTATTTAGGACTAAAGAGCCCTCAGGCAATACTGTATAAACTCAGTTTAACCTCAGGATGTGCAGCAGTGATTGTGCTCGTTTAAATCCCCGAAAGCCTCTGATGAGAGCTTGTTTGTAATGTTGGCAGACCCTCCAGCAAGCTGCTCTGGAGAACTACCATCCATGTGCAGGGATGCGGTCTTGATGCCAGATCCAAATGAGTCTTGCTGCAGACTCGCACATGTTGGTCTACCTCAAACGCCAAGGATGACAGGCATTCGACACCCTTAGAGAGCCACGTGGGCCATCCCAGTGCTAATGGGGCTAAACTGGGCTTCAAGGCACCCTGCCTGCATGGTCAGCTGCCTTTCAGCACCATCTCCTGGCCAGACCCCGGCAGGTTGATGCAATCCTGTCCCAGGAGCCATGTGTGCCTACAGCCAACCGCGGTGGGGTCAAACCCAAGCCAGAAAGCAAGTGATCCCTACCTGCTGCCAAGATAGGGAAGAACAGATCTGAACAAAACATTCCCCCAAGGAGAGCTCTCATACTGCTCACAGACTCCTGGAACTGCCACTGTCTAGACAGCAGACTAAGCACCACCTCCAGTTTCTTCCCCAAAGTGAAAGCATCAGAGTTGCTTCACGAGCAAATAGGTACTGACCCGACTGCAATCTAGCCAGGATCTCTGGAAGCTTAAGGAGTCTTGGAAAGACACCCAGGAGTCAGCAGCACAGACAGGACTCCCGCATCCGTGTACTGTTTCTGCATAAGCCCAGCTGGCTTTTAAATCGGCTTTCTCAATGGGAGGAAACAGGCCATGTCCAGCAGAGAAAGTATTTATTCTACCTGCTTCAAGCATGAGCTGTCAGGCAGACCTGCTCCTTTTCAGGTGAAGGAGCTCATAATGAGCAAATTAAGGAAAAAAACTTCTGACCAGATGGTGGCACAAAAACATCAGACCGTAACAGTAGGTAACAGGCTCTCGCCAGAGATCTTGGAAAAATACTGCACAGCAGCCGCCTGTCGTAACAGTTGTAGCCTGGACCTCAAGCCAGGCATTAGTATACCCCTAAGACTCCTGCAGATGATGATTATTGTGCTGTCCTCTTTCGAATGCACTGAACGCATTCGAAGGCAGTAGCTCCCTCGCAGCACACAATTCCCAGCTTTTGCTTTGTAAACTTGTGTGCGTGCACTTCTAGGCCTGGTCACACTATTTTCTCCATCTCTCATCCTTCCAAGCTTTAAATAGAGTTTCAGGTTCAAATTCACTCAAAATGAAGACCGTTGTTTGCTGGAGAACCGTGCTTGCTCTGTAGGCTCTGCAACCAGGAGTAACAAAATCAAATAAAACTTTCTTCCAATTAATCTTTCATTTATTATACATGTTGGTTAGCATGTATAAATATTCACTATTAGCGAAGCCCCAAAATAAGATGTTGTTAATAATGAGCATGCTCTTTGAAGTGTACTTAATCCACAGCGGTGGACTTTGAAAGACTTTTTAAAGGGTAACTCATCTCGTTTCTCTCTCCTCCCCCACCAGAACTGCAGACCAAACTGCCGGAACAATCATAGCGCCTTGTCTTTTGTCTGCACTTCCCTTTCAGAGATGAGTAGTAAACAAATGGAATTGAAGTTTAATTTGACAACGCAGACTCTTATTCAGCTACAAACCCAGAAGGTTTCTGCAGATAGTGAAAGAGGGCACTCGAGCACCTCCAAACAATCGGCTCTTTTGCCTGTTTGTACTAATGTTTTTTCCATGATGGAAGTTAAAAGTTTCTTGTTTATGCACATCTGCTTTGACTGATAGCCCCATCTTGGCAACGGAATAAAAAGACTACTTCTGAAACCAGAGTTTGGCCCAACCCCAGAATATTCAATGACTAACTGTCCTGGCTCTAATGTGAGAGCAGGTCTGGAGGATGGCACATCGGGATGCTGCTCCGAGATGTTTACAGCGTTCCCTAAGCATATTCCTGTTCACGCCTGCCCAACCCAGAGAGAACATGTACTGAGATGATAAATAACGGGCAAGAGTCAGAAAAGCAGAGCACCCCAGAAGTAGCAAGCAAAGAAGAAAGAATCAGACCCCAAACTGCCTTATCGGTACAGCTAGAAGGTCATTTCCAGGCAGCGCCACACTCTGCCTGTAAGTCATATCAATGAAATTGATTGCAAATCGAGATCTCCCCAGTGAGTCACTTTGCGTACAAGTCTATTTGCCAGCAAGATTTCCTTTAATGGATCGTGTTTCCAAAGCTGTTAATGGCAGGACAACACAGCAGGTGTTTTATAATTAAACATGGCAAGACAACTCAGCAGGAGCAGTCAATGCACTTTTCCCTCCCTCGTGTTTATCGTCATAAACAAGTTCTGCTTTCCAATTATGCCGTGACCTGCTACCCAGCTCTCCTCTGCCCAGAGCCGGCCACGGGACTGGTTATCACACACTGCAAAACCTTTTTAACAGCAGTGGAGAGATCAGTCCACAATTTCACATTTCAATTTTACTGTTTATGCACTGTTTGGAGCTTTACTCTCTCTATAAAAAGTCAGTTCTATTAAAGCAAATAATGTTTACTCATGTCTCGTGTAGATTTGACATACTTCAGAAAACAGATCACACGTGTGCCTTGGAGGATCTTCAGCAGATCAACACATTCAAAGCAACTGGTGAACTGGAGTCTGTCCCGACAGCTAGAGGCAGCACACACTCCACTTGTTTTACATACAAACCTACTGCATTTGGAAAAGCAAGGAAATCCACAAGATCCGTTTTCGCTTTGAAGATTTTCCTGGGTGTCAGCAGAGGTTGCCAAGACACATTTGTGGTTTCACACTCCCCCATACACAGGTCTCCCAGAGAGCCCTCACATCTGAGGTTCACAGGCAGGTGAACAAAAACGAGCAATAGGAAGCCCAGGAGCAACAACGCACAGTAGGAGAGCTTTAGTTTCATCAGAAAGCGGCTCACACGCATTGACCTCTGCAGAAGACAGCTTTAACATATGCTGGGCCGGATTCTCGGCTGAATTCAAGCCCCTGGTCCCTGTTCACGTCAGTGGGACCCACAAGCCCACGCATCTCCCCCACAGCTGGAAGCTAAGAGGAAGCAGGAAGCGACGGCCCTCTGGGTTTCAGTCTCAAGTGAAGATGCATTTGGTGGGATCATTACAAGTGGGCAACAGTCCACATCGCAACGTGATTCAGAAAAATCTCATCCTAAGGGAATTCCCAGCCAAGAATAGGAAAGTAAGGCTGAAGGTCAATACGGAGGTGCCCTGGAAGAACCGCACAAAGGAAGTTCCCATGGCAAGCGACAGCAGCAATGCCGGAGTGAAAGCAAACTTCATATTCACAACCCGACTTGCAAGGGAGGTAATAATATAGTTGGCTCCTCCCAAATTATTAAAACTGTTCTTTAAACCACATTCGTCTAAAACATCCCAAATCAAGTCCCACGTACCTCACAGGAAGCACCATGGCCTATCTTCTTCTCCACGTGCTGATCCTCCTCTTCATCAGGTGGAGGCTTGGCAGGCGGGGGTGGACGTTCTCTCTGCGGTTTAGAAGACCACTGTCAACTGTGTTGCGTTAAAGCACTTCCCCCTCCACTTCCACCAACACTACGTCCATGCTGCTGTGAATGCAGCACGGTAGGGACCTCCTCAAATTACTCTGAGTGGAGTAGAAGTTCAGTCCTAACAGCACAGAGCTTGGCAATGGTTGGTGTCTCTCCTCCTCCTCCTCTCCAGCAGGATACCTATTCGGGCAGAGAGCCCTTTCTGCAGATTCACCGTACTGCAGTCCTGTGGATGGACTGATGTTGATAACACAGACCACCCACTTCTGCTCCACAGCAGTGACACTGCGCAAGGCCAGCTCAGACCCACATGAGCACCAGCTACGCTTTCAGGAGAGTAAAACCGCTCGGGTGGAAGGTGCCGTGTACACAGGTTTGTTGCTTCATTGCTTAAGCCAGTTCATTCAGACCCGGACTGGTAATCTCAATGGCACAGCATTTCACAGGGACGGTCAGTAATGAATTCATGCAAATGGGTAGAAAGGGAAGACTCATCTCTTGTGTCTTAATGAAACAGTAACAAGAATAAGTGATTCCAGAGGCACCTTTTATAGTGGAAAACCCTAGAGATCAAGAGACAATGCTGCACTGCATTCCTCAAATATCCCAAGATTGCCTGTGGGCGGTTAGGGCTGTGCTGCCTTGTCTCCATGCAGAGCTAAAAACCTCTCTAGGTCATCTCCTGCCCTGCAGCAGCTCCATCTAACGGCAAAGGGAAAGACAGCAGAGGCGAACCGCTCACTCCAAAAAACTCAAGCAAGTTTTGGGAGAAACTCCAGCAAGCTCCTGGAGCACATCCCTCTTTCTTCTCCCTTTTCACTGCAGTTCAGCCTCTCATCTTTTCTCATTTGTGGTAGAGCTGAGCTTATTTCACATCAGACGTTATCAAGACAAGACAGTACATAGATGGATATAAGCCACCAATATTTAATTAGTAACAGGATAGAGCATCTTGTACTGCATAACTGAAAGAGAGATCTGGCTGAAATGCCAGTCCTGTAAAGCTTTTGTCTCATTTCTACTATTTTTGCTAATAGTACAGGGAAAAGGATGCACCTCTTTGCAGAGAGAGAGGAAGCACGGTTACAGTACCACCAGCAGTTTAATTGTTCATCGCTGCTTTGCCTTTTGTCCAAAAATACATCCACGGAGCAGGCTTTGTAAAACCAACCAGAAAACAAACCCTGAAGCTGACACAGCATGCTGCAAGGCCAGCATCCCGTCTGCCCCATAGCAGCGTTGCCACCGATTGCTAAGGGGGCAGCAGATGCAACTAACAGAAGGTGAGGAAGACTTCTTTGGAGACAGTTCCTGGAGCTTTGCATTGCCTTGTAAAGCCTTGAGTACCCTCTACAGATTTCTGCAAGTAATACACAAAAAAATGTTTCCGCTGCCAACTAGTTTCCAACAGGATGTTCTTAAAGATAATTTCTTGAGAGCCTTCTTTTGGGCAAAGCAGAGAGCAAGAGAGATGAGAAAAATGCTCCACACAAAAGTTTCCAAAGCTTTCTTCTAGGCAAGAAGTTAGCCCTTCAGCAAAGTGCAATGTCCTGACAAACCAAAATTCATAGGCACCAGCATTCAACTGCCAGAAAACAGAAGGATGCAACACTAGGTGAAAATCAGGCACGTAGAAGTGGCTACTCGTGGGCAACGCAACGGAGGTTATGTGAACAGGCCAGTGAAAAAGGAGAGGTACCTGCCTGCTCTAATCAGTGTCAGGGATGGGTTTAAAGATTTCCTCAAGCTGAGGGATTGGCAGCCTGCTGCAAAATCATGAAAATAGAGGTAGGTTACCTATCTTTCTGAGGCAAGCAGAGACAAGCACACATGACTACGTACAGGCCTGACTCCTGCTGCTTTGAGACCAGCCGATTCCGCTTCCTTATTCACAGACTCTCGATCTGAAGATCTCCCACTGGCAAGGCTGTCCAGGGAGTGGCAGGATGTTGCATTGTATAAAGCTTCATACGGGCTCTCCTCTTCTGGGTTCACATCAAAATCTATGATCAGTTCTGTAACTGCTTTCTCCACATCACCTGTGAGAGGAGGAGAGAGACAAGAGCATCACTCGGGGCTTCTGCCCTCGGAAAGTCAGCACTTGCAGGAAGAAGAGTGCTAGTGACTGCCGTGTTGCATGGAAGCCTACCCTGAGATATCTGGCACACAGGATCAGCGGCTGGAACAAGCGGCGCTTGAACAGTCTTCTCTGCAGCTTTGGCACTTTTCTTCCCGATCGTGTAATCTGCAATGAGGTGGGGCGACAGGGTCACTTTATGTCAATCTAGTTTTACGTCTGCTTCAGCATATGGTACTTCCTCCCTTGTGGATGGAAGGCCAACTGCCAGCTTAGTAAGTCTCCAAAGAATAACCAAAGTACATTATTAAAACTTGCAGCTCAGATCCCAAAATAGAAGCAGGCAGCCTCTTTAATCACACGCACAAGGTTAAGGATGGGTCTTTGAACTTTTACAGAGTCTTTAATCAGGAAGCTGCCTTTGGAGCAGTAATGGAGAAGATTACTTCACGTTGTAGACACAAGCTACATCACTAAACAGAGATGCAGTCTGGTCTTCTGGAGTCGTAAGACAGCAGAGAAACCAATTCTAGCTGTGGTCCCCTAATCACAGGCAGAGCCAGAAACATTAAGCTTACATGAATAAAGTCAGACAGCAGCATCTCATGCAGCTAGCTCACTTACAGGAGCAAACCAACAGCATTTACCTGCAAGAACTTTCGTTTTAAAGCTCATCTTTGTCTTCAGTTTCAACATTGAGATAATACCTACCAGCCTCACAGGCAAAGCTTAATTAAAAGTCTGCAAAGCGCTTTGAACCTGTAAAGCTCTCAAATGCTAAGCATGAATAATGCACACCAGTTGCATATGCTTCTGATCTTTCTCCCCACAGCTGAGAGGAAATTGAGACAGCATAATTACAAGGTATGAATTCAGCTAAGATGCCACATTTCATTCCCTAACTCGGACAGACACAATGGGCCAAGCTCCTTTATAAACCACAAGTAATCAAGGCCCTTTCTGTAAATCTCATCTGCAAAATCCATGCCCAAGCTTCACAATGAAGTGAGGAGTAGGATGCAAGATCTGTGGACGACTATTTGCCTACACAGACACATAAAGGATAGTTAATCCAAAACCATTTCTAAAGCTATTACTTTGCATTCTGCAAGCAGATTTAGGCTATCCTTAATTTTAATTAACTTCTAAAGTGAGTTAAACAAAGCTCAATTAAGCCCATTTAAACTGTAAAAGTCATGCCACGCTCCTTCAGCAAAGGAGCTAATCCCCCTAAATCCCCCCCTGGAAGTACCCCTGCAAACACTTGCTCTGAAGACAGCTCAGAGCATTTAAGCATCACTCCTTCCAACACCTGTAAGAGTCTCATCGAGGGACCTGGCCTGAGGCTGCGTTGCTTTCAACACTTTCCAGGACTAGAGAACAAAATCCTGTACTTGCACTGGCACAATTATCATCCCAAACTCTTCCCTCCTGCCCGCACACAGAGCTACACCACTTACCTTCGATGAGAGCTGCTATGTGTTGGCTTTTCTGAGAAGGAAGTTCCCTCACAATATCCAGAGCTGTCAGGCCTCTGTTATCCTTTATGTTCACATCAATACCTATGGCAATAGGTGTAGAGACGGCAAAAGCAAGAATATTTTCAAACTGTATGCAAATTCATGCCTTTAATCAAGTTAGAGCTTACACTTGTGATCATCGGGGGGGGGCCACTAAAAAATGCTCTAGAGAGGCAGATTTAAAGCCAAACACCAACAGATAACCTCTCCTATAACCCTCTCCGAGGAACACCACTTTGATAGCTGGTTGGAGAAACACTATAAAGGGGTTTCCTCAAGTTCTGGGTGAAGGGATCACCATGTTATTTCTTCAAAAGGGGAACAGTCTCTCACCTGCGGCCAGCAATATTTGTACCACATCTGTCTTGCCAAACAAAGCAGCTTCGTGCAAAGCACTGCCCTTTTCAGTCTGCAAATTAAATGGAAAATAGCATGAAGCTAGACAGCGGGGAATGGTGATGGAGGCATGTTTTAGAAGGTTACAGAAGCAATAAATATACAGCATCATATACAAAGTGTGGGCAACAATATCTACAACTGAGGACAAGCTACCAGTATAACTGCAATGGTGAGAATTTGGAATGGAAAATGGGATGGTCTCTTCAGAGAGACGTGCGGGCCCAGGTTAGAGACCAAGAAAGGACTTTCGACAGCTTAGCAAGAGGTCATGTCCTGAAGAAGAAAGACAAGACCACCACATACAAGCTATTGCTGTGAAAACAGCATATTCACAAGTGGCTTGATAGGAAGAGAAACAGTTTGCCTCCGTTGCTATCAAGAGCTCATGGTTTTGCAGGGCAGAACAGCTTAGGTGAGAGGGCTTTTTTTCCCCCCTCCCTCACTATGTGTCTGGGGCTCTTTGTCCAACTAACGAGCAGGCATGAAGCATGCACAACACCAGAATCCCTCTGAGCAGCTTCTCAGAGCAACCAAGAGCTGAACAAGCAGCCCAGAGGAAAACAAAGCTATCGCTCATCTTTCATAAACGATCCCTCCAGGAGGAGGGTTAGGTGGGGCGCTCTGTATCGCGACTATATGGGTTCTCCACCCCCCAGCAATCAGACCAGCCCTTCACGCACAGACACACCAGATACCTGATAGTTGCTATCCATGCCAGCATCCAGGAGGACATGGACCACAGTTTTGTGACCATTCCTAGCTGCCAAGTGCAGGGGAGTGTGTTTCTTAGTGTTGCAGCTTAAAAGATTGGGGTGAGCGTTCAAGAGCATCTTCACGACTTCCAGCCTCCCATAGAGCGCGGCCAGGTCCAGAGGAGTCTCAAACTTGTTATTGCGCATGGTGGGGTCGGTCAGCTCCTCCAGAAGGACCTTCACCACCTCTGTGTGGCCGTACTGCGCGGCGCAGTGCAGCGCCGTCTCGTTGTCGTTGTTCTGGGGGGTCACAAATGCCAGCGCGTCAGAACGGGGGAGAACAGAGCTGCTCCGTGCCTCGCTCAAACCATTGAAGTTTAAACACAAAAACAAGACAAAAAAGCAGTCGGGAAGCAGAGAGCCCAGTTTGAATCAGAGCCTGGAGCAATGTTTTCACCGTCTCACTAGCCATTTACCAGGCACAGCCAACCCCTCATGAACTCATCAACCAACCCACCCAGTAAAAGCTTCAGAACAATAAGCTTTGCTCAGATATGGGAAATCTGCTCTATGGGAAATAGGTGCTATATATGGAATAGCCTGCTTTCAAGGCACTGAGGTCAAAATCAAGGGACCATGCTAAAGTTTAAAGGACTGTTGAGCTGTATCTGGATTCCCATTAATTCTGCTAGCACATGGGGAAAGCAGTCTGTTATTTGTTGGCAGCATCCCACGCTTTGGGGTGCCACAAAAACATAAAAGGCTGCACTATATGATAGGCAAACTGCAGCATGAATTCTATCTGCCGTAGCTTAATCGTCATCATTTTAGATTTAAACTTCAATTGTTTCAAATCCTACTTATCCTGATTATAACAGTCATTCCACCTTTGCAATTCTGAAGCTCGCAAGCTGGCTGGTTTGAGAAAGGGTGCATAAAGTTACATGCAGTTTGTGAATTAGAAAGCAGTGCAATTAGATCACTCCACTAACAAGCCCTTGTAGTCAAGGTCTCAGGTCAACTGAGGGAAGAGATGTCCCAGCAACAAGAGAACACCTCCACAGTGAAAGCCAGATCCAATTAATGCATGCAGCATCTGTCAGGTTAAGAATCAGCAATGCAAAGCATTGAAAGACAAGCAACCTAAACACATTTCACTTGCAGGTGCAAAATAGGAACATTGTCAGATTTAAAAGAGCTTTTTCTCAAATTAAATTCACCTCAAGTTTCTAGTTTTACTACTGTGTGTTATCCACAGAGGGATTTCCGTTTAAGGACTTTAGAAACAAATACTTATCTAACAATTCGACCCAAAAAACTTCAGTACAAATGGTTACACACTACAACTTCAGCTGAAAGAACGATGGCTGAATTTGTCATTTTAAGAACAGTTTCCATTTAAAAAAAAAAAACAGAGAATGTACTTGTCTTGATGGAGTTAGAAGTACTACTTTAGAAACTGAATTTGATCAAAATACCTTCCTTTTTGCTTTGAGAGCACATGCACTTTTTTGGATACCAGCTTGTAGGAGCAGTCAATATTTTGCACCATTTCACAACCACACTGCAGAACTTGCTCTGTTGTACAAGTACTTTAATCCTATTAACGTGTTAAGTCATTCTAGGGATTACAGGAGTCACACATGCAAACTCCCATTTGTTTTTATCTGGTATTTGCATCATTCTCCAGCCACATGAAAAGCAAAAGGGAAGCGAGGTGCTCTGGAGAGGCTCTCTGCAGCCACAACTTGTATAAAAGCAAAGACTAAGGAGGCAGGAAGGAGCAACAGCCACATGCAGGAGTGAGATATTTAAGAAGGCAAGGAAAGCATGGCATCACTGTTAGCACAGAAGTTCAAAGTCAGACAACAGGCTCTATACTTGGAGTGGCAGAGGCAGCCATGGTGAAGGAAGGCACATACAAGTGGACAGAAATTACTGTAGAATAAAGAAGTCTGCACATAAAATACATATACGGAGTGAGAAGGGGAGAGAATAGAGAACTACAGAGCTTACACCTATCGATCAGCTTAAGCTGCTGGTCTCGAGGCATTTAAAAGGTTGGTAAATCACTTTATTCTTATTTGACAGCACAGGGAACCCAGGTATCGGTGGGCCCATGACGCAGCCAGACCGAGGCCCTCAGCCTGCCCCATAGCACGAGGGAGGCTTGCTGCCAATTTTTGCAGAAAGAGTAGATAACCCCAGCCCCTCTGGAGCAGCAAATATCTGCCAAAGAGCCACGGGGGGTATGCACTGCTCATGCCACGCTGGCCCTGGCTACAGGGGATTTCCATGGCTAGGACTGTCCCCCTCTCATCCCTCCCTGGCACAGAGACCACATCCCTCAAGGGCTCTTTAAAGCGCACAGCAACTCCAAACACCTGCCTGATGGCTCAGAAATGGGAACATAACATCCTTTAATAACATAATTGTTGAAGACTTCCCCCATCTTCACTGCAATTTAGTCTAATTTTCTTTAAGCAGGTCAGGGCTCTGACGCTCAGGATGAAATCCCCAGACTTTCCTCCTGCAATAGAGATCACGAGGTGGTAAACTCTCCTGAATCACTACAGCAAGCCTTTCCCCATCTCAGACTGTGTACTGGAAACTCCCGCTATTGCATAAGTCTTTATTGCCTCCATTTTAGGAGAGCTTTGAGCAGCCAAAAATGCTAGAGCCGTTCCAGGCAAGGGAGTTTGCCTCCCTTCCCCGCATCGCCTCTCCAAGCACAAACCAGAGCAGAGCCTGAACAATGAGCATGAGCGCTCAGACATACGTATTTATCGGAGATGGAAAAAGAAAATTCCTTTCCAGCAGCCAGAAGGCATATGGGTTCAAATTTCAAAACTTCTTAGAAAAATAGAGCACTCAACAGGGCCCAGGGGCTGCATTCTTGCAGGAATCCTTAGCACCCCCTCAATTCACAGTTGGGAGTGAGAAGCTGGGCTCATACGATGCCCGCCTACAGACCACAAACCGGGAACACAAGCAGAAACGCCTCTGCTTTCATATGGGCTCCATCAAATTTTTCAAGCCCTGGTAACTAGATACCACATACCATAGCCCTTATGCTCGTCACACAATAAAATGGAGCATCTACAGCTCCTTAAAGTGTATCTGCCTGCGCTCCTGTTCTTAACACACCGTAAGAGGGCTTTGATTGAAGAACGGGAGACTTGGTTTAAATAAGGGAACGTTTTCTAACTTTCTAACCTGCAAAGGTTTGAACAGTTGAATAAACTGCCAAGGGAGACTATACAGCTGTCCCTCTCCGAGGTTTCCGAGAAGCTGCTAGACAAACACTGCTCAGGAATGGTTTAGGTAGACCCGATCCTGCCTCAGGGCTGGGGAAAGAGGCTATATGACTCTTCGGTCCCATCCAACCTACTTCTAAGATTCCTTTTTTGTAGGATTTCTGTCAGTGTGTGCATGTCTAACATAGGCTTGCCCTATTAAAAACCTGCTATTTTGCTGTGCCAGTGACACGACTGATCCTAAAGCACAGAACAGGGATGCCCCGCTGGCATCCACTCCATAAAGTTTCAGTTAAAGGCAGGCCAAAATGAAAGAAAAAAAACCTGTTTAGCAAAATCCAAACTTCACCAGGAGGTGACACCCAAGGCACATCACAACCTCGGGCACAAAGCAGGCTGGAAGAGTTGGCTGGAGCTGCCCGGTCAGTTGTGCCATCTCCTTCCCTCCTTTTGCAGTACAAAATTTCCATCGGTGCCCCACACGGCACTGCCAGGAGCAGAGTGAGGATGAACAGGTCTCCTTCGTTCCTACAGGTGCCCAACAGCGCCAAACACATTTCAGAAAAAAAAGATGATCCCCATATGTCCAACAAGCTTTCGGAGCTCTGCGGGTGGGTTCACTGCCCGGTTTCAGTTGCAGACTCCAGGTGATAGGCTTCCACTTTTCTCAGCAGCCCATTTAGATTTATAGCATTTTAAACCCAATCTGCATGATTCATTTGCTTCCAATTAAAAAAAGACAAAGGTAGTTTGTGCAGCACACAAACTTGAGCTATGTGACAGCTTTTTCTGCTTTGGCTCTCCTCAACTGGTTGGTTCCTTCATACAAATTAAATAACCAAATTCAAGATAGCAGGAGTTACTGAAGCAAAGTTGCTGCTCCATCTCTTAACCTTCCTTCTATCATTTGCTTTTCAGAAGTCCTTCAGGCCTGTAACAGACGTATTGCAGGGACCGCCTACTGAACAAAAGATGTTGAGAAGGAAGGGGCATAAAAAGAAGCTGTTAACTATTTCTTTAACTTTTAGGAGAGCAAGAAGCTTCTAGCTTTCTTATCTCTTCCTCAACAGGATATTAAATTGTAGCCCAGCCTTACAGAAATGCTTTCCCTCTCTTCTAAAGATCCCAAAATGTTTGGAAAGATGAAACATCTCACTTCAATCATTTCTGTATGACATCCCATCCTGCATGGGAGCTGAGAAGCTGGAAGCACCAACTAAGCAAGGACTCTTACACTTTGCACCTGGACTTTTTGTGGTTCTCCCACCTGCAGCCAGGCTACTGAGAAAACATCAAGGTTTGCATGACAGGTATGATGCCACATGCTCTTCACATCAAACCTGGTCAGAAACTGGTGGAAAGCTGGTCAGAACTTGTGGTGAACCTAACAGATTGTGTCTAAATCTTAACTCTCTCCTTAAAACCAAGGCAAAGATTTCAACAACACTAGCCTTGTTCTCGAGAGCTCTACAGCCATCTTGAAAACTGAACTGAGAGTTTAAAATAATGCACTTGTCAAAAATATAAAATCCAAATTAGAATACTTCGTAAACAAAAATCCACAAGAAAGTGAGCTCGCTGTATATTACATCTTTATATTCCTTCTTCGTTCAACATTTTAATGCTGGAGTGTGTAAGATTTTACTCTGTTATTGTCAACGTTTTAGAAAGCTCCTTTCAGGCAACTGAACTGCTTGACTATGATGTTTCCACAGAAGACATTCGTTGTTGTAAAATTCCCATCTGGATTTTTGTAAAAATCACCGATACGGATGAGCTTCACGTAAATATATTTGTGCTTAAAGAGGTATGCACTAGAGTGTTTCCTGAAACAGAAGTCTGCAAAAACAAACGTAATTCCCAGCAGTTAGCAAGCTCAGGGACTTTGAATGTGTGTTTTTAAGGTACTGCAGATCAAGCAGAGTGAAAGTTTTAACTAAACTTTGAGAGACAGAAATCTGCCATGGATGGCTGGATCCCAAATAATTGGCTGGAAGCAACTGTGGCGTGGTAGCCGAGAGCAGAAGTATCTCATGACAAATCAGCAGGCTATTACGCCATCACTGGCCTGCAGCTTCACTAGAAATAAAAATGAAAAATGGTGTCTGCGAAAACACCACCAGGAACTTTATCTGCTTCCTCAATTGCTCAGCCTCAGTGCATCGTAAGTGCTGATGTCATGCCTTTTTGTAGCTCAAGAACAACTAAAAGCAAGAGAGAAGCAAAATAGGCAAGGAAACAGGAACAGAAGACTAGGGCTGAAGGGTCAGACGACACAACAGACTTGACATCAAAAAAAAAGAGAGAGACTGATGCAATAAGCAGGACATGAAGGACTTGGGAAGGGAGGCACGAACATTACTGCCTTCCCTTCTCCCCACCACCACCAAAAGAATTAACTGTCCATTCAAATGACAAATACAGCATTATGCATTTTGTAGGAGAAAAGGCATGAAAATTCACTCCAAACAGCCCACAGAGAAAATGCATCCATGTTTAAGCAGGAAAAAAAATTTCCTTCTCTTTGCGTTTATCAGCAACATTAGCACATGAAACAAAACCTAAAGCATTTTAATTGAAATAACATTACCTTTTGGAAGTCATCCAGCCAAATCAAGCAAACTGACCATCACCGTGAGTCCTACAAGGCTAAGCAAAGAAGGAGCCCCCGGGAAAGTAAGGAAAAGCTTCCCTTAAATTATGTTTCTATAACTGCTTTGAAGAAAGAAACCCACAGTAAATAAACGGTCGCATTTTACTTTTCCCCAAGCAGCTGCAAACTGAACAGGTATTATTGCAACTGGATGACATTGCACCTGGAAGCACGCGAGTGCAGCTTGGAGTAATGATGCAGTGAAATGCTGACAGCAAAGTACACACCTTGGCATTGATATATGGGTCAAAGGGGCCGTACTTTTTGAGTTCTTTGATCTCAAGAGCATTCTACAAAAAGGAAGAGGAAAAAGAAAAAAAATGTGATAATGAAATGGGTGAGATATAGCAACAAAGCAATGGGTGACTCCCAAGGGGTGGAAATGACAGAACACAGCATCTTGTTCCAGTCAAAGCTATTAACAGCAGAAGCCATTCCAGCTGCCGATTCCTGTAACTTGAACCACTGTGCATTTCATTTACAAGACTCCAAACACAAGCAGCGCGGGCTATTCGGCTGACTTTTCTCATTTAAAAAGGCTCCTACTAAACAGACGTTAATGAAACATTACCTGGAAGGATTACACTAAGCTTTTAATCTCTTGCAAAGGTTTCCCCTATACCTGTCCTACTCAGAGCAGAACAGTTCACACTCAGGGCCCTCAGTCAATTTTTATCAGATTGATTGTAAACAGCTAACTACACTTCTCAAATCCATTTAAACAGACTGAATGCCTGCAGCTGCGCCTGAAGACACTATTAACCACAACCCCAAACTGGAAAAATTTATCAACAGAGACATTAAAACACACACTCTTAGTTATTCTGCTCAATTTTTGGGGAGTGGCAGTGAATAGCATTACCACCATATTTTTTATTTCGGGGTGCTTTAGAAGCAACCATTTAGCCTTGGAGCAGCCTGATGCATCAAGTTAGCCATCTTATACTGAGGAACAGAAAACTTAAGCGTGGCACTTTGGTCCCCACAAAGTATGGCTGGAAGCAGGATTAGGACTCCCAAACCGACTCCAAAGGGAGTTTGCTCCTCAGCTTCTGAAAAGTATATACCACAGATCAAAATTAGACAGCAGAAACTCACAGTTCCCAGCTGCTCATCTTGACTTCGACAGATTTTGCTAAACTTGAGCCATGAGGATCTGACCTACTTGTGAATTAACTTCTGATGAATATACATTTTTAGCCTTGTGGTACTAAGGCAGACAAAGCTATTTTGGTTTACTCCTCTCCTCCTGGATGAAAACCTGAATGGTTTAGGAGTTGATTCACAGGGACATTAGATATTCCTGCCTTAGGGACAGGACAACCAAGGGCTACTGTAGCTTTAACCGTCTGATTTGGACCTGTTACTGCATGTCTGCCCAAGCTCACTCAGCCAAAAGTGGTTCAGTAACACTGCTCAGCTGGCCTCGCTCAGTAAACCGGTTCCCTTACCCAAAACTCTTAAACAAAATAAATATTTGGGTCTTCCAGCAGCATCATTTCAGAAGTTCCCTGGAACTGTAAGATACCTGCTGACTTCCACGGGGAAGTTACACGGGAGCCAGCCCTCCAAACTGGACACAGCAGCCGCTGTACAGAATAGCTGCCTCGTACAAACCAATCCCTCTGCATCCTAGACCAAAAACTATCAGCTTGACAAAGGGAAGAAATCCACCCGATTTTTCTTCTTGCCTGATTGAGAAAATTGTTCTCTAAGATCAAGCTAAGGATTTATCTGGGGGCAAGTAGGGTTAAAATTATCTTACAACTTACAAATTAGTTAACTGGAGCAAGTGCTAGAGACAAGCCAGGAGAGTAGCTAAGAGAGCATGGCCAAACAAAGACTAAACAAAGCTGCTTTGATTAGTTCCCAAAGAAGGGAGCCAATGTATCCTCTGACAGAACTAGAAACCTTCTCAGCTATCCAGCAACTGAAAGGAAAAACTATGGGTTAGTTTTAGAAGCTCAGTATGAAAGCAGGAGACCACTTCCTAGGTGTTGAGTGGTTCTCATATTTATATATCTCAGTATAAGCATATATACCTTACTCATTCAACCACTAACTCGGAACTGGAGCTATTTGCTTTAGGCAGTGCCCTTCTTATCCCATTAACAAGTAGGACTTTATAACAATTGCTACTAGTTTGTGAAGGGTCAGGAGTCAGCTGAAGTAGTCTCTCTCCATCCGAGGGAAGCGATTCAACGATATATTAGAGAAAAATACGCAGACCTGCTCATTCACTTTAGTATGCGAAGGTCCCTGGTGGATGAGGAGCTTCACTATGTCTGCATCTCCCTTCCAAGCTGCCAGGTGAAGAGGGTAACAGCCTTTACAGTCTGCTACGTTGGTTAGTGCGTCGTTCCTCAGCAGAACTTCCACCACATCCCTGCAAGAGAAGGAAACTTGAGTCCGTAAGATATTCCGTCCTTGTTTCTCAGCTTACATTCTGCAGTGAGTATTTTACAAAAAAGTTCATCTGAACAGGAGTATTTCAGATATCCTCTTGAAATGTGATTTTAAAGCGTTCCTATTAAATGCTGCCCAAGGGAAAAAAAAAGACTGCTGAGAGGAGCTCAGGAAAGATCTATGTTACCTTCATACTAATGGAGCTGAATAGGACTGAAGTCAATCAAAAAGCCACTCTGGTGAAAAGTGAATTGCACCAGCACAATGAAGATGAGTAAAGATTTTAACTCTATTCAATTTCTCAGTATCTTAAGTAGCAATGAACAATACAAGATTTAACACGCTGAAGACTGGAGTTACTTAAAAATGTAATATGCACGAAAGCGAATTTTAAGTGGTGCAGGCACAGCAACACATTGGACACCAGACAGACTGCAGAGGACTGTTACTGGAGAAGCCACCTGTAGTATGTTGTTATATCTTATCCAAATTGCTTATAAATAAAAGGGTGGTTGAAAACCTCAGTGTTTCGCCAAATTTTTAGAGATGTACGATCATACTGTGCAGCAGCCAATGCCTCTATAGCCTCACTGCACTGATGTTCTTCACTTCTTGTCCTGAAGATGGTGTAGTGCTGCACCATCGCCACGTTTTCAGTGGAAACGGCATTTGACTGGTGAATGAATTAGACAGAAACCGTAGCTTGTAAAGCACATAGTATCCCCTACGATCAAAGGCATTATAAGATGACTCACTTATGACCATTCAAAGCAGCATGGTGCAGTGGAGTGTATCCAGTACTGTCAACGCAGTTCACATTTGGCCCTCTCCAGATGCTGCAAGACAGAAAACGTACAGGGAACACTTAGGCACACACCAAACAGACGGACAGCTGGCAAGGACAAGTTTCAGCAGAGTTCTCACACCAAGTTGGTTATCTGGAAGCAAACCAGTGGCTGGACAGCTGCGGTTAAGAGCAGTAATACAGAGAACAGACCGCACAGCACTGCGTCGAGCAGAGGGGTTAGTGTCACAAAGCACACAGCCGGTACAGGGATTCACTACTCGATGCTTTATCAGACCATCCTGGTTTTAAGTCAGAGCTCCCACGTTCTGCTACTAGACATCTTCCAGCCATACATGCGCTTGCCAAAAAGCATCTTCAGAAGAACATGTGTCTATTAAAGTTAACCACAAGAGACAGTAAACCATCAACCCACCGCTAATTCACACCCCTCTGAAGAATTTTGATGGGTCTGGGAAACCCTCTTCCCTCCGTGGCAAGAGTCACTAGGGGTGTAAGTCAGAGACTGTGGGATACAGAGCCTGCCCTTGGTCACCAGTGTGATCCACGCTGACTTCTTACTGTCCAAAAATCATTTCCATCTGACAGCTGTTGGCAGTCTATACGAAAGAGTAGGTGGTCTCCGAGCACTTCTGAGAATATTGTTAACTTCCCTCCCTTGTTCAAAAGTTGAACAGCAAGGATTTAAGGATTAACCCTGTAGAGGATTAATCTTCCCTCTAACCCCTGCAGGGTGTCCCATTTAAAACAGCGGAGAAACGCACGTGTAAGAAGCTGGCACTGCTCTCGAGCTTGCTGTTAAAGGAGTTTGGTTTCTACTGCCGCCCCTCACCAGTGCTACCACCCTCTCCCAGAAAGGGCACAGGAACTCACATCAATACGTTCTTAAACGCAAATGGAAGCCGTTCACCTTTCCTGAAGACGGCCCTCTCCGTTACAACCCATCACTCCTTGTATGCTGGCCTGTTTTAAACTTAGTACTTTCAAGAATTATAGAGGATTTATAAGCCTAGACAATCACGCTTTTGCTAATACAGTACGTTTTCCTGCTTTGTTTTCTTTAACTAGGGGTGGAACTTAACAGCACCCTCTCACCCCCAGTTTAATTGGTTTAAAATAAACTGTTGCTTTTTATGAAGTAGGCCTTTCCTGATCATTTCATTTCCTCCCCAGCATGTAATTGCTACGACTCATTGTATGATACAGAGGCAGCCCGAGCAGTAACTAGGTTTTCTAAAATAACAGTCATTACTAGAGGGCTCCTAGCCAGAAAAAACTCCATACCACAGTGTACAAAAGCAGCAGGAGAGGCACCAAACCAACAGGAATCTCGTGCAGACCAAGTGGAAATTCAGAAGTAAACTAAGCAGCATGCTCACTCTCAAGCACATTTCAGGTGGGATTCAGGAGCACGCTCTGAAATGGAAAGTCTCTCCCCGCCAAGCGAGTCCTGATCCAGCAAAGCGTTATAAAAGGCCTCGCAGTCCTGAGACAGACACGAGTTCCGCTAGAGGAGAGGCAGCTAAGGGGAAACTTTATCCAAGAGGACAGGGAAGTAAGCCACAAAATCCAATTTGCAAAGGATCAGAAGGCTTATCCAGAGGCATTCCCGCACACCACACACCATCCTGCGCTTCAGAAGGAAAAGGCAAACCAATACATGCACGCAATGCATTTCAAGCGCTACTCGCATCGTTTGCGGGTGATGGCTTGAACTATGTCCAGAAGATACGTGAGACACCAAAAAACCGATCCGATTGAGTCCAGGAGGTGCCCTACCCCATCCAGCTGCAACAGTCCTGAAGCATGAAGGGGACCTGAGTAATTCTCAGGCTTTGGTTTATTTTTGGCAGTGGGCTCATGCAATGTGGTTGCCCAAATAATTTATTGCTGGATTTAAAGTGCCAATTAATGGTTAAAACCAGAGACCAGAAAGACTTGCATGTAGTCTGGAGCAGTTATAAATACTGCGCCTGTGCATCCCCTTGCACAGGCTGCTAACCTGACCAAAGCCAGAGAGTCCAGTGGTTTTACACGTTAAACAGAGCTGTGTTTTGATGCTGAGCTCAAGAAGCTTCAGGGTGTACATATGAAAAACCAGCAGCGTTTAATACAAATATTTCTTTCAGCTGAAGTTATGAAGTAAGGAAAACCGAGGTTAGTGGTGTAATGGGCATAAACCAAGTCACTTGCTCAAAGTGATCCACCCAGTTGGCAGCGAGACCGGGGACTGGAGCCCAGGATATCCATCTCCACCAGAACGTGGTCTCCCTGTGAGAAAGCACACTTCCATAAACTTCCTTAGAAACTCTCTGGTTAATGCTTTAGAGTAAAAAGCAAAGTTCACTCAGGGGATTCAGAGGAGGAAAAAAGTTGGGAGTCCAAGATGGAGCTGGTTCAACAGCGAGCGCTGGGTACTGCAGAAATCAACTGCTAAGATTTTAAGATATTAAAAAAAAAAAAAAAAGATCTGCTGTGTCCTTTCCTTCCCCTTGCCCTTTTATTCTTGCAAATAAAGAAAGCTTTTATCAAAGAAAGGTCAAATCACCCAGAAGTTCAGACTGAAAGGATCCAAGAAGAGAACTATTTATATTTAGATGTGAGGACTGCAGTGAAGTATATCACTCTCTCCCCTCCTCTTCCTCTCCAGCTCTGCTAGGAAGGCCATAGAGTTCTCCTGACTTAACAGAAACCAAATCTTTCATCCCATTTTAATTTATGTAACGCATAGCATTAAAGTGACAGACTAAGATAAGATCCCAAGCTTCTCATGTTAGATCTCAACACAGAAAGATAACTCCACTATGGTCCGCAGAAACTAGGAGTTGGAAAAACACTAGCATGGGAACGTTACTTCTGAAAGACACTGCAATTCCCCCAGAGCACTATTTGCAGCGCCTGGTGCATCCGATCTGAACGACATCTCCGGCAAAATCTGTAGGAACTGTGGCAGAACTACTGGAAACAAAGCCCAGGCTCTAATTTAAAGTATTAGGAAAACCCCCTCAGACCACTTTGGGGAGGAGGTGGGATTAAAATTACATCTTTTGAAGTGAGGAGGCTGTCAGGTCTTTTCAGGCCAGTCGGGGAAATTTAAAGAGGTTTACGTTAACAGGAACAACTCAGCAAGTCTTTGAGATTGTCAGGCTCATGGGTACGCGGGGCTCCGTTCAGCCAGCCCCCCCTTTGGGAACTCTTACCGGACAAATAAATACGGAATAGTGTCTAACTCCTCTTGGTTCAGGCCAGTGCGAGCACATTTCACAACACGGAGAACAACAGAAATTATACATGAAGAATCAAGTAAGTGGGGTTTATGGAGACACAAAAATCACTGCAGGGAAATCAGGAGTCCGCGGCAGCTGGGCAGGCTCAATCCCTTTCAGAGGGGTTTCCCCTTCAAGCCACTAACCTCCCGCTGTGCTAAGGCACAGATGCTCACATCAAGGCCCAGGGCCCACATCTCCACCTAGAATATATTACCTCCAATGGCTTGCAGATGAGAAATTAAATGAGAGAGAGAGATGAGCACTTATTTAGGCGCTGTGAGATCATGCAGCGCTAATGCCTGAATCATTTCATCTTAACAATACCTACTTACAGACCTGTTGCCCTGATTTTATGAGGCAGAGGGGAAGTAATTCAAAACAGGGCAGTATAAACGTCGCCTTTGGCAAAAACAGACAAGACAGAACAGAATGCAGGAAATCCTAACGCCAGACCACTGCGATACTCTTCCAGCCTTGCAAGCCAGGGCGTAGATGACGACTCTGGAAGCCACAAGGGCTTTACTCCCCGCTGTGCTACGTAGCCTTAGGAAAAGCTCTACTTCCAGACCTCAGTTTTCCCATCTGTAAAATGGAAATACAGCATTGAGAGAAGCAGAGTACAAAACCAAGTACTATCTACGTACAGTGTGATTTTGGGCTGTTTCTGATTAAACAGAAAAACAGATCCCGGCACAGGAAGGAGAATGCTGTAAATACAAGTCTCCAACAAAGCTCAGAAGAAGGTCTGGAGCCAATTCAACTACCACTGCTGTTTGCTTTCTTTTCTCCCCCAATCCCCAAAAACCCTTTTACATCAAAGAGGGGGTCTCCGTTATGAAAGCAAACTTCTCAAATGATTACCTAGATTTCACCTCCCTTTGGCTGCACCAGAGAAGCATTCTAACAACATTTCTGATGTATCTGTTTAAGGCAATTAAGACCAAACATTAAGGACATAAGAAAAGTTCTAAAAATTGCAAAATCTGCTCTGTTTAAACTAGTTCTTGCGCTCAGTTTTCTCTTGCTCCATGATTCAGCAAGTGCTGTATCCTTTTAAATAAAGCTTCCCATTTGTAAAAATTGCTGAATAAAGCACATTGCTTTAGGTCATGATAAAACCCCATAGTTCCTTTAAACAAGACCATATTTGTCCTCTTGCTTTTCCATTTATTTCTTCCTGACTGTAGTAACTTTACTCACAGAACCATCTGGGGCAGTGGGCTAGAGCAAAGGCCAAGCCGCCTAAAGAACAACTCGCTGTTTTCAAGTCAAACGATGAAGTCTTCAGAGCTGATTTATAGTCTCACTTATGTGGATTACAGAAGCACCCGGAGACTTCAGGGACAAGTACTCTTACTTGTGCAAGATCAGGCAGCAGAGGCCATTGCTACCCCGTGTATTCACGTACTCAACACTAAAGACAAAAGGAACAGTATTAGTACTATCACTGCTTTAGATACAAAAAACCAGTGCACGTGAGCGGCTTGGCCCAAGGTCACAAAGGAAGTTTAAAGTAGCTGAGAACTGGTCCCAGATGTTTGGAGACTTAGTTCAATGCCTTAGAGACAAAGTGTCATGAGGGCGGTTAAGGCTGGAGGCAGATTAACTCCTAGTCCGTTGCCCGGAGGACATCACAAGCAAGTCAATACACGCATCTCAGCTATTAATATCCATACAACTGCTAGATTCTTGCAACGCTAACACAACCCTCTTTTGGTATTTCCTGCTTATAGACTGGTAATACAAACAACTCAA